CCGGCGAAAGCCACGGCCATCTTCAATCCCTTCACAGGGAGACGGCGTGGTATTCCTCCATCCCTACTCCAAGCAAACAACGAACAACTACTGGTACCTTGGGACTTTGGGGGGGGGGGAGGGGTGAAGTATACAAGTACTCGCTGACTTGGGTTAGTGGGAGCATTATGGAGCATTTCGTCCCGGTAAGGCATTTCAGCACGCGCTTCTCTAGCCGCTCCCGATCTCAATCGTCTACACAAGTATAGAGAGTCGTGCCAGAGCTGCGCCTTTGGTGGGATGTCGCAAACTGACGCCTTGATGTTGTTGGGAATCCACTCCTTAAGCAGCGCAGTAGAGAAGAAACACCTGCATGCCTACAGATTCCACCCAATGTTCGAAGACTCCGCGCTTGAACTCCTGCAGCAAGCTGTCCTGCTTGAACCCTCTTGGCTCGAGGCAGTACTTTCACAAAGGGTCCGGTGCCAGGCTAAGTTTAGACAACAATGTCAACACTTTTCTTCACGAAAAACGATAAATGACCAGATCCAGCGGCATGAAAACCTGAATCCCTATCAACCTTGCTCAGTCAACCAGACAGGCACGGCACGATTAGAGGTAAGAACTCCGACCGATGCAGGCAAGACTCCACAAAGTAGGAGGAGTTCTTGTTTTGGACGTTAAGCATCTGCTCGTCCACCTGCGGATATGACATGGGTCGAGATGACACGATGCAAAGTACTCATGATACTCATGCACGCGGAGCAGGAGAATACGCTCTTCACCGCGCGCTCCACTTGCATGAGAAGAATCATGCAGGCAGACATGAAAGGGTACGACTAGTAGGGGGCCTCTTTTGTTGACATTCGGCCGCGGAAGAGTGCGGCGGCGGTCAAGTATCGCCCGTGTCGAGGATCTGCTGCGCACATCATGTTCTTGGCATCGAACCTAGATCATCGCCGCATGCTCACGACAACTCTGGCTCGTAACGAGATCATAAAGCTCGGAAACATTCCTGCCCGGGAGCATTTGCTGTGTCAACTCCGGCACCGTCAGGGCGCGGTACTGCTGGGAGCCGCGGGATGTCAGGGGCGCAAAACCAGTCATGAAGAAATGCAGACGCGGGAAAGGCACCAAGTTCACGGCGATCTTGCGCAGGTCGCAATTGAGCTGGCCTGGAAATCGCAAGCAGCAAGTCACGCCGCTCATCGCCGCGGAGACCAAGTGGTTCAAGTCTCCATAGGTAGGAGTCGTCAACTTCAATGTCCTGAACAACATGTCGAGGAAAGCAGTAACGCCGACATGGAACTATGTTGAAATGGTTTCGTTGCTACAGACGACCTCGGCCGTGGCAGCATGTGGCAACCCTGCACACCCCTTTTCTCAACCATCACACTTCTCCGGCAAACAGTCCTGAAGCAAATGTCGTACAATGCTTCATTGTCCAACAAGAAGGACTCGTCAGAGTTCTCCACCAGCTGGTGGAAGCTCAGGACAGCATTGTATGGCTCCACGACGGTATCGGACACCTTTGGCGACGGAATCACGGAGAATGTCTCCATGATCCGATCAGGGTACCTGCAGATGACAGCGGCTCCTCTGCGATGCTATACATAACATTCTCACCCTGCTCGCTGCACCTCTCTACTGCTACCCACATGCCTGCCATGCTCCTGCCTGAAAACAACAAATCAAGGGTAACAACATGAAGCTCTCGCGCATGTATATATATATATATATGTATTGCAAGGACATTTTTGCTCTTCATATTGCTTACATGTAAACTGGCTTGTACATTCTTAGTGTGTATTTCGATCCAATTGAGAAACACCATGCCTGCTTGCTAACAAAACCCTCTAACTCTAACTCATCCGCACGGAGCTCTTCATGCGATGCGAGGCACTCCTCACGCACCTTGGAGATCAAGAGCGTGCCCATGCCAGCTCCTTTTGCCACGAAGCCGAAATCCCAAACCCGTTTCGGGCTGCGTGCTTTAGATGGCGAAGGGCTTTCAAGGTTTAGGGTTCCAGGGTCCATAGGGTCCCGAACCCCAAAACCTTATCCAGCCATCTCCTGTGCCACCTCCCAGAGAGTGGCAGAGCTGGAAGCCCTGGAGGCAATCGCAGCCTTCAGCCTCGCAAAGAAGGCTGCACAAAAGCTGCTTGGAGCAACTTACCACTTATCATATAGCTCCTTATAGGTGTATGAACATGCAACATGCATGTGCAAAGTCGTCTGCATGTTTGTCATTCGTGGCCTCTTTGCGCACCACATCCAAGACAGAGTCGATGAGCTCAGCACCCTCGGTGTAATGGCCCTGTCAAGCTGCGGCGACGGCAACACTAGCAAGTCTCTCGTCACGAGCTGTTTCCTCTGGCCACAACGTCACAGCAGCGGGCCTTAGCCCAGTTATTGCCTGCACCTGTTTGACCGAACACGAAGTTGTCCGGCCGGAACAACTGGCCGAATGGTCCGGCACGAACGCTGTCCATGGTTCCTTTCGGGACGCGCATCAGGTCGACCCACATTGACATACAGCTAGCGTGGTGCACATCTTTCCCTACACCCCTTCAAAGCTGCGCTTCACTCGACAGCTGAAGCCGCCCCAAATTGCCTGGTTCAAGGTCCATCAGAACAGCTCGGGGTACGTAGCGTCCGCCCGTGGCTTCGTTGAAATAGACATTGATCCGCTCCAACTGAAGATCTGAGTCTCCGTGGTAGGTACCTGTCACAGTAGCTTCCGAGGCATGACCGGCTGTTGAGCATATCTATGCAGATGAGCTGCCTGTTGGGTCGATGCCGTGCTCATCGGCGATGACTTCCCAGAACTTCGCACCAATCTGATTTCCGCATTGGCCACCCTGCCATTGACTCACGCTAGCAGATACGCTTCCCGCATCAGTTGCCGCGGGCCCGCTAAAAACCCATGATTGCCACGAAGCAGCCTGCACGTGCACGAGCTCACGCATGGTAGAAGTGCAGGAACTGGGAGTTCGAGAGAGATGTCGAGAGGCTGCTGCCTACTGCTGAACACCTTGAGCCCGGGATGGTAAGCAACCACACTCCAACATTCGATGCACCCTCAGAAAAGTGCAAGCAGCTTCTGCAAACCATGGTGGCGGCCGTGCCCATGGACCTCGCGTTTCAAGAGTACTCGGCGTGGTCTGGAGGTTGCAGTGTCTGTGGTCCGGCCCTGTGCGGACCCTATGAGCGTCAGCTCAACTTGAATTCGAAGCCATCTCAAAGCTACTGGCAACTGCAAGGGGGC